TTTCCTTTGGTGTCCTCTAGTCCTTCTATTATGGGAACTACTGAAGAACTTTCCTTTATGCACCCTCTCCACACCACTCATGCTTTTATAGACCTCTATCATATCCGCCCTCAGTCTCCTCTTTTCTAAGCTGAAAAGTCCCAGTCTCTTTAGCCTCTCTTCATATGGGACCTGTTCCAAACCCCTGATCATTTTAGTTGCCCTCCCCTGTCCCACCCTCTCTCTTCCCCTCTCACACCTCCTTTTCCCAGTCTCTCCGAGTTCTGTTCAATAAAGAGAGTTTCTGTTTTTGAACACATGTGTCGTTTATTTTGTACATCAGGAAGGGGGGCTAGGGAGGAGTAAGTGGAAGGAGGTGAGGGAGGAATGGGGTACGAGCCCCCGATGGGGAGGACTGGGCTGGCTCTGCGGGCTCCTTGGGGTGGAAGCTCTCCTGCAGCCCCCTGATTGACGCCCCCCCGATGGCAGCCTGTGGCAAGTGCAGCCAGGCTGATGGCCAAGTGCTGTGATGTGCTGAGTGTGGGCACTCAGGGCACTCCAAGCCAGGACTGCTTTGCAAGTGGGGAATCCCTGAGAACTGTCTGTCCGGGGTGGGAGTCGGGTCCCTTTAAGCGCAGCCTTCGGCTAGCCTGAGATAGCAGCTCCATGCTCTAAGTCCTAATCTGATGCTCTGCCGGCACTGCTTCTGGCCATCCTTAACCTCGGTTCAGGGTCCACTCAGTGTGGACATGCTAGTTCAAATTAGCAAAACGCCAATTCGAACTAGTTTTTTCAGTCTGGATGCGCTAATTCGAATTAGTTTAGTTCGAATTAACTAATTCGAACTAAGTTAGTTCGAATTAGTGCTGTAGTGTAGACATGCCCCTGGAGAGCAGAGCAAGGAAATGATGAACCCCAAGGATTGGCCTGTGATGAGAATGACTCAGTAAGCGGGAACCCTTGCCTCTAGGGAAATCCCAGGGCAACAAAGGAGGGTGGAGGGGGCTCCATGAGTCTCTGAGGTACCCAAGTAACCTCCAAGAAGCGTAGAACCCCAGGGAGCTACCAAGGGACTTTGTCATAGTTTGCAATGTGCATGGGGCAGGCAGTGTCACATGATGCAGGTTTCCCAATCCCATTGGTCTATGGTCAACCTATTACACTGACAGCTGCTTTTCAGTAGAAGCATAGGGGATGAGAGGAATGTGTGACAGGCAGTGTGTGGGTATGTATTGGGGTGGGAGACAGTGTGTTTTGGGCGATGTCAGCATGCTGCTTTGTAAGGTCAGCTACACAGCTCTCTCTCTCTCACACACACACACATACACCCCTACCTCCTTGTACAGCAGCACAAGAATTCCACTGAATGGCTTGCTCTGTGTCCCTCAGCAGGATGTCAATACCGGTGCTTTGAAAGGGGATAAGCATGTACTGCAGGGCAGATAGCCACGTTCAAAGTAATGAGCAGAGTGGCCACTTGAAGGATTATGGGACATATCCGGTGGCCTGTGACTATGTAGAAAACAATTGAAGTGTTTACACTGGCATCCCAGTGCTGTAGTCACAGCGCAGAAATCTCTATGTCTCTTGCCGAGGTGGTTTACCTAGAGTGCAACAACTGTGGAATTAGTGCACACTAAGTACCTTGCCAGTTAGGACACTTTAGGAGTTATAGCCCTGGGAGCTGATTTACTGCCCTGTAATTTGCCAGTGTAGACAAGGCCTAAATATTAACTAGACCATTTCTGACAGGTGTTTGTCTAACCTACAAATAAAACTCTCCAATGATGGAGATTCCACAACCTCCCTAGGCAATTTATTCCAGTGTTTGACCACCAGACAGGAAATTTTCCTAATGTCCAACCTAAATTTCCCTTGCTTCTTATTTATCTTCAGTGGTTAAGAAGAACAATTTCTTTCCCTCCTCTTTGTAACAACCTTTTATGTACTAAAATAATGTCCCCTCTCAGTCTTCTCTTCCTCAATAAACAACCCCACTTTTTCACTCTTCCCTCATAGGTCATATTTTTTAGACCTTTAATAATTTTTGACACTCTTCTCTAGACTTTTTCCAGTTTCTTCACAACTTTCCTGAAATGTAGCATCCAGCTCTGGAAACGATGCTTCCAGTTGAGGCATAATCAATGTGGAATAGAGCAGAAAAATAACTTCTTTTTTGAGTGGTCCCCATGGGTGCTCCACTCATGGTGTCAGGCTCATCCCAGCACCGCAGCTCGAAGGCTTTGCATAGCTGTATTCAGCCGGGTTGTGCCTGTGTAGTGTGCAGCACGTGCCTTTCGCATTCTTTCGCATTCTTTGATCTTCACACGCACCCAGCTAACCTGTCAGTTCCTCTCAACCGTCCCTGGCCACAGTCAGAGTTTCGATTCTCTCATTCCTTCAACAGTTCTCATTCCCCTCAGGGGACCTGTAATTAGTAATTTGTAAATAGTTAGACCTTTTTGTTCACTGTTCTTCTATTATCTACCCAAAAACAAACAAAGAAAAAGGAAAGAGACTTGTCAGTACTCCCTTGAAGCTGAGGCTTCCCGTGACTCCCTGCTGTTACTAACTAACAGCTCAGCCTCAGGGAATTAACAAATGTGTTTTTCTTTAGGAAAAAAAGGTTCAACCCTGTCATGCCTGGATCTCCAGGTTTTAAAAAGTGTGTCCAATGCAGCGAGTCCATGCCAGTTTTGGATGGGCATTCAGCATGTATACACTGTTTAGAGGATAACCACATTCCCCAGAAATGCAGGCACTGCTCAAAGATGACAACCCGCACTCATCGAGACAGGGAAATGTGCCTCAAAATGCTCCTTCTAGACAAGGCGCTGGACCCTAATACTTTGAATACTGAACAACTTGGGGGACTTCAGAAGAGAGGTTTTCTTCCCCTGACCCGCTGGCAGACAAAAGAAAAAAGATCTCCCCTGCCAGATTGCTCCCGCCAGAGAGAATGGTGGGAGGTAAACCAGGATCCTCTGGTTCTGTCCCGTGACCCTCAGCACCTGGGTCTGGGACAAAAGTGAAGAAGGCTGCGGCATCTGATAGATCCTTTTTGGTGCCAAAAGCAGCCTCGGTGCTGACAAGCAGAGCCCATACTACAAGGGCGCCAGCACTGCTCTGTTTAACTCTGCAAGCAGCGCCGGAGCAGCAGATACCCGCGCGGGCAGCAGTAGCATCGGAGGGAACACTCCCGGCATCAGCAACACTACAAGCAGAAGTGCCAGTGCTACGTGGTGCTCCCAAGTTACAAACAGCCCTGGCTTCAGCAAATACATTGGTGCCACAGCTGACTGAAACACCGGCACCACAGCACGAACCAGAGCCGACATTGATTCATGCAGAGCTTCCGGCAAAGGCATCAGTTAAAACATGGAGAAAGGGGACTCCCCACTCCTCTTCTCCAAGATTTTCACAAGGTCCTTCTCCTTCTCCTCCAATGTGTGCCTCACCTCTGCACCATACCTACCAGCACTATAGCTCAAGACATCAGTTCTATCACAGACGGTATTCCCCATATCAGCACCCGCATTACAGAGACTACTACAGGCACCGATCCTACTCTCCACCATATAGACGATTACCACGCTATCACTATTCTCCATGAGTCAGTCATGAAAGGTGACATACACGTGGTAGATCATCCAGGTGTTCGTCACCTCACCCATTGGATCGATATTACGTGCATTGCCATAGTTCTGCGTACTTGTCACATTCACATTTCCATCACCGTGTGCACCAACAACCCTGATGTGACAATCCACCGTCAGCAGAGCACTCTCCACCACAGCAACACCATAGAATCATAGAATCATAGAATAATAGGACTGGAAGGGACCTCGAGAGGTCATCGAGTCCAGCCCTCCGCCCTCAAGGCAGGACCATGGGGGCCACAACACAACAGTCAGACCTGGAAGATGGACAATGGTCCAAAACGGAGGACCAACAGATTGGGAATCCAATGCCTGACCATTCATCCTCTTCAACACACCAGGTGGTTTTTCCACCAGACATGTCCTTGCCAGATGATTTCAAGCAGTTATTGTTGAAGCCATTATGGAAATGGCAGACATCTGGCAGAAACCAGCTTCAGTGCCACCAACCTGCAGGAGAGCGTACAAGAAATATTTTGTCCCTTCCAAGAATCTAGAATTCCTCTTTAACCATCCACAGCCGAATTCGCTGGTGGTAGATGCAGCACAACAGCGGGCCAAAACACCGTAGTATAAGACAACACCAGATGTCAAAAAGCTAGACATATTCAGCAAGAAAGTATACTCCTCTGCAACCCTGCTCCTATGTATTTCTAATTATGCCGCCTTGTTATCGAATCACAACTTTGACAATTATACCTGCCAGAAAGTAAGCGCCCCCTCATACAGTCCCTGTGCAGGTCGGTTTTATGGTAGCAAGAGCAAGTTAAGTTTGACACATTTTGTTCTTGACAAATCCACACTGACTATTAATCACCTTATTATATTCTAGCGTGCAAATTGATTACTTAATTTTTAGCTCCATTATCTTTCTGGGTACAGAAGTTAAGATGACTGGTCTGTAATTCCCTGTATTGTCTGGGTGTTAATGCATGCATACAAAATCTTAGAAACACTTGGATCTTTAACAAAGTACAACTGAGGATGTTTTATTCAGTTACAAACTTTATGCATGATGGATAGAGGCCAGTGCAGTGCACCATTAGTAAGCTGATAGCTTCTTATATTATTACTAAATCTTAAAGGGTTAATCCAGGGAGATTGCAGTAACCTGTTACATTATATAGTCTTATTCCACAATGCCACGTAAGTTCATGGACTTGTGTATTTCTATACACCTATTAATTATCTATTTTTGAACTTCGACACACGGATCTGGTGGTGTCTTTCTAAATGGAGGGAAGGCAACTGCCTCCGTATTTCTTTCTTTTGCAGTGTGATTCTAAAGAAAATTTCCTCTTCCATAGGAGAAATGACGTCCTTATGATGACTCCATGGTTTGCACCAATAGTTTGGGAAGGAACCTATAACCTTGAGATCCTGAATGAGCAGTTCAAACAAAGGAATGTCACTGTGGGACTGATAATTTTTGCAATCAAAAAGTGAGTATGGCTTATTCATAGAACTATATGTTAGTTACGAAAGATGAAGGATAACCACTAAGAAGAGTGGGAACCTGTTTTCTGTTTGTGTGTAGTGATGATGTATCCCTTGTTCATCTCACCTTTCCTAGCAGGCATTTTGTTGGAAGACTGCTGATTGACTTAAAACACATTTCAGTGACAGGGAAAGGAGAGTGGGATTTCACAGTGGGATGGAGGAAGAAATTAGGAGGATGTGGAATTTGTAAAAGAAAGGGTCAAATTAAGCTGCTTCTTATGTGCATCACAGAGAGGGGAACTGAAAGGATTAGCAACTATGGACGCTAAGTAAGGTACTTTCCTCTTCTCCCTTTGCTCTGGGAACACAGTCTTTGACCTTATGCTTTGCTGACTTCAGAGTAGGTGATCTTTTATCTTCTCCATACTGCTCGATTTCTTCTTGCTACACTGCTGCCCCTACTCTACTTGAGGTGGAATATTTCAGAAATACAACCAGAAATGTAACTGGGAAGAGAGACTTTCCTCAAGAGTCCTTCTTACAAAGGAAGAATTTGACTTTCATGTTGTGCAGGGCTTTATCAGATTTGTAAATGAAGGAAAATACTTGGTGGCTTGTGATGAACCCACCCGTGCTATGCAAAGACAGATTAAGGAACTATTCATTAACATAAATGTTTTTCTATAGCTGTGCATGCTACAGGGAAGTGCTTGTTAATCCTGGATAGGACCCTACCAAATTCACGGTCCATTTTGATCAATTTCATCGTCACAGGATTTTTAAAACAATAAATTTCATGATTTCAGCTATTTACATCTAACATTTCATGGTGGTGTAATTGTAGGGGTCCTGGCCCCAAAAGGATCTGAATTATCACAAGATAATTGGGTGGGGGGCGGGGAGTGCAGTAATGCTGGTAGCATCACTGACTTCAGAGCTGAGCAGCTGGAGAATGGTGGTTGCTGGCTGGGATCTGAGCTCTGAAGGCAAAGCCACCGCCAGCAGCCACACAGAGGTAAGGATGGCACTGCAGCTGGCAGCAGAGCCATCCCTAGAGAATGGCAAATCAGGGAGACTGCTCCGGGCCCCGTGATTTAGGCGCAGTGCTTCTGTGTATGTGTGTGTCATGCAGGGCTTGGGCTCAGTCTCCAGCAGTGGCCGCCTTAGGAATCGACTCCAGGGGTTTTTTGGGGCCCACGGAAATCATGTTGGGTACTCAGCAGCCATTGGGCAACCCGCTATCAATGCCTCTCCCTCCCCCATCACAACCTGCTTACTGGTGGGCCCTGAGCCTCAGCGCCCTTCCTTCCCTCCCAGTGTTTATTGCCTGCTGCAGATCAGTAGTTTTGTGACATTAGGAGGTTCTGGGGGAGGATAGGGGAGGAGCGAGGGAGCAGTGCATTCAGGGGAGGGGCCAGAACTGGGTGTGAAAAGGCAGGGCAGGCCCAGGAGGAGGCAGAGCAGGGGTGGGGAATTGGTGAAAGAGGAAAAGGAGGGTGGGACCAGGACAGAGGTGGTGGAGAACATGCCCTTGGCAGATTATAAATGCAACCTAGAATCGTAGAACACTAGAAATGGAAGGGACCTCAGCAGGTCATTATTTCCAGTCCTCTGCCCTCAGGGCAGGACCGACTATCATCTAGATCATGGGTGGGGAACCTATGGCCCAGGAGCCAGATGCAGCCCCGGGGGGTCTCAGTGGACCACCTTGATTTTCATGCACACCTGCTCCTGGGTGGCCAGGCTGGCAGCTCTCCTGCCCTAGACGGCCGCTTTCCTGTGCCTAGTGCGGAGGTCGTGGACGAGGTCCACGATGTCTGCACTGGACCAGGCGGGTG